ATCTGGCTTCGTCCAGTATCTGGCAATCTTGGGACGGTGCCCGAGCCCTTCCTGAAAGCTGGCACGCCCTTCGTAGCAGGGAGGGCTTATTCCACCCCCTTCCCAGGTGAGCCAACCTGGGGTCATTGACTTCTTGGAGACCACACAAAGAATCGGCTGAGAGCCAGGCGCCCTGCCCTGCTGCAGCATCCCTGCAGCCTGGCTCTTTCCCCGGGGAGCCCTGGGGCAGCTTTGCATGGCTTGCTGTGCCCCACGGGGGTCGAAATGCAGCCTGGCCCCACGCATGGCTTGGTGTGCCCCACAGGGGTCAAAATGCAACCACGCACGGCTCGGTTTGCTCCATCGGGACCAAAATACAGCCTGTCCGGGTGGTGGCTGTCCCCATCCCATCAAGATGTGCCTTAAATAACCTCCCCATGGGAGGGAGCTCACAAGCCCCTCGGCCGTGGCCACCCGTGGCTGGGGGGACCCCCCCAGCTCAGTGCTTTTCCACCTTTCTCGCAGAGGAAACCATAGCTCTGCTGGCATGGGCCAAACGTGAATGCAGTTTCGGGTCCAGTGGCAGCCCACTTGAGACACGAGGGGCAGCCTCAAACAAAAGAGAATTAAATGACCTTTTCTGCAGGAAGCTTTTTTCGCCTATGACATTGTCTAACATTTGATGTCACAAAGACCCTCGAACTCACAAATCGCCTTGGTTATAAAGAAAAAAAAAATCTGGATGCAAACTTTCACACATGAAAAGAAGCTCTGGTAAAGAATTTTTTTGTTTGTTTGGGATCCGGCAAAGCCCTGAGCTCCCTGCGCAGGTCCTGGGGTGTTGGAGAGCAGAGCTGACCTACATACACCTTTCCCAGGTGTGCTGGTAAACATCCTCCGGGGGGGAAGGATAATGAGGGAGGCTCCCTGGGAAGCAGAGAAATGTGGAGAGGCAGCCGGAGAACAGGACTGACCGGAAGAAATCCTCACCCTCCACCCACTCCCCACAAGCCTGCAAGGGAGCTTGCACCGAGCTGCTCCCACCAGTCCCATCCATCAGCTGGTTGATGCAAGGGAACAGGGTGAGTCCCACTGTTTAATTTATTATCTTTTTTTCCTGCTTGAAGTGAGCATTTATCTTTTCGTGGTCATTTTGCAACCGGTCTTTCCCAGCGGGGCTCGAGGCAGCAGACACCAAAAGACGCAGCGCAGGATCAGCTGCCCGGAGTCTCTCTGCCCAGCCCCGAGCACG